ATTCACAGACCATGTGGGCATGTAAATTCCCAGCCCAGCGCGTGTTCAGGTGCGTTGCCACGCCGGGTCGGTAAAATTCACGCTGGATTTTTTTACCGTGTGACAATCATTTAAAGATAGATATATATGGGAGACACTCACTTCGACATGGTTGCTTGAACTTCCTTTTTTAAGTGGGATGTGTTCTCAAATAACCAGAAGAACCTCTGTCCCTTTGCGTCTGCAGCAGCCTTCAGCTGGTTTCGCACACGGACATAGTCATAAAATAGGTAAGATTGGCCTGTTGGATCATCGAGTCCTTTGCCGAATGGGTTTGCTCTGTAACAGGTAGCAATAGCAGTGTTATTTCACACAACATAATTGTTTCAAAATAAAAAAAATGGCAACAGGCCTCCATACAAACTGATCTCCCCACAGGGACTGCCTCCTAGCAAAATATCTATGCGGCCAGCGTTGGCCACGCTGCCATGCTGAAAGTCTGTCACTGAGCCCAGATGTGTAATGTCAGAATGATTTTCTCGAAGTACTCGTATACAATTCTCATCAATCTCCAGCGACCTGTGCAAATACCAATGTCATAAATATGAAAAGTCACAATTTCATGGCAGTAGTGTTAAATACTGTTTCAATGACACATTGATACTGATAACCTCACCAATATTTTTCAACAGCTATGTTTAGGCGTCTTAAAACTACCCTGCCTGCTCCAATACCATCAAACATAGATAAAACCCTTGCCTTGGGCAAATCTCTGTCCTGGAAAAAGTACACAACATTGTATCACTCAGTGACTCATGTGACGGTCTATATACAAACATGGACAGTAAATAGACACTGTTCTCACATTAATTATCGGATGTCGAGGGTCCGGGGGCACATCAAATCCGTGAAAGTCCGATGACGAACTTGCATCATTCTCACTCTCATCCATAACCTCAACTGCTGCTTTGCGTACTCGTAAAATCTGTAATAACAAAAGTACAACTTTAACTTCAAAACGGCTCACATAATGCAACGACAGAGTGCTGAATGCAGTGGTTGACTACTTTTACATCACCTTCGTCGGGCCGTAATGTCTGTGTCGTTTGGGAGGAGCATTCAACATTTTCCGGACCCCCTTTCTTCCCATCGCGATGTTACACTTCACGGGGAGAATGGTGCTCTGCGGTGCTCCTGCTGACTTTTGGCAGAAAGAGGGCTAGTTACTTTTCACAGGCATGTACATGCGACACACAGAACTTTTCTTAATGTCAGTGAACAAACCAATTTCCTAGATTTCGCCCATAAACAGAGGCTTCAATTGGTTACGAATTTCTCCTTTCAGGCAGCAATATGCAGAATTTTCCTACGGCAGCAGCGTCCCAGAGAATGGTCGTAAGTCTATTTTTTGTCGATTTTGCGAGATGCATACCATTAGAATCGGGAGAAAATTCTCTTTCTAATGATATGCATCGCACGAAATCGTGAAAAAACAGACTTACGACCATTCTCTGGGACCCTAGCGAGATCCGACACTATACGCAACCGCTCCGAGGCACGACCTTATACGCAGCCGCTCCGAGGTACGACCTTTTAGTTTTCAGGGGTTGTGATGGTCTCCGATTTTGTTCAAAATCGGCACAGACCTAGGTCTATACTAGTCTAATAACGTCCCAAAAGGAAAAAATTCTATCTTAAACCGTTTGGCCGCCACCGCGCCCCGAACATCGACATTTTTCGGCTACTTTTGTGCACCGCAATTTTCAACTCGCTCTAGTTTTGCTCCCCGTGCACGCAGACAAAAAATATTTTAACCACGGGTAGAGGCGCTGTTGGGCGTCAAGTAGCTGTACGCCAAAACGATGCGCGGGCGTGGGCGCGGCGTTACGGACCCGCCGTAGGGGCCTAACACAAAATCAAAAAAATCCCGAAAAACGCATTTTTTTTAATGGATTTTATTTCATGAGATCCTGCGCTTATATACTAGCAACATCTCCACAAAAATTCAGAGTGGGCGCTCAATGGGATCACGTTAATCCCATCGAAAGTAAGGGTTTTGCCGCGCCAGAGGCTGTTTAAAAGCCCGCGCGCAGCCGAACTCAGCCGGCCGGCAGCGCGCGCGCTTTCAAACAGCTTCTGACGTGGCGGTGCACAAAAGTAGCCGAAAAATGTCGATGTTCGGGGCGCGGTGGCGGCCAAACGGTTTAAGATAGAATTTTTTCCTTTTGGGACGTTATTA